AATCTTACATTGTACTCTCAGAAAACAATATAGCAGATGAATAAGAAGCAGTGAGAGCAAATATCCAAGTAAAACAATTATAAACTCAAAATATTTGGTGTATATTGAAAGATGCTATACCAAATATCAAAACACGTTTTGTTTTTAAATATGCATAATATTCCTTAAAGCAAGACATTATTATATTGTGAAATAAAGGAAGCCTCAAACAATTACAGAGAAACTATATAATACAGATGATTGCTTTCTAGTAACATGCAACTATTAATTAAAAGTGGGTAGCAAAAAGAAATTCTATCAATATATTTTGCATAGACAAATAAAATAGCCATTGGATTTGAAAGAAATAAATTGTTCTTAAAGAGTAATAATAAAATAACTTTATGGGAAAGTAAACAAAGAAATTAGAAAAAAAATATAATTTTCAACACATTTATCAAGAAGCAAGAAATGTTTTTAAAATGACTGCCCTTTTTCAACAAGGAAACTAGAAAAGAAGCAAAAAGCAAACAGAGAAACAAGAAAGGAAAATATTGAAAATCAAGCCAAATCAATAAAAGCAGCAAAGGAGAATATTTAAAAAAAAAATCTGATATCCAGCCAAAAACTTTCATCTTTCTAGTTCTTACAGAAGATTCTACCAAATTTTAAGGAAGAGCTTAATATCTATTTTTGTAAACCACCGGAGAAAATAGAAAATAACAAATCTATGTAGCTCATTTTAGGAAGTTAGTGTTACGCTGAATCTAAAAGAGATGAGCATGTTAGCTCATTTCCATTATGGTTGAATGCAAAAATATTAACTATATTATAAAACTCCTATATCGTATTTCAAAAATGTATATATAACATGAAAGGACTCTTTAATGCCAAAAAAAAATTTAAAGTTAATTCACATTAACAGACTATAGTCACCAAAACATATTATTGTCTTAATGGTAAAAAAATATTGATACAAGTTCAATAAAAATATTAGCTTACCAGGAAAACACCTAGAAAGCAAGGGCTCAATGGGAACTTCCTTAATTTTGTAAAGATTAAACACCAATTTTAGAGCATGACACTCAATGGAGGACTTTTTGATGCAGTTTCCTTATGATGAGGAATAAGAGAATAATTTCCTTTATTGCTCAACACAGTACTGTAGTACAGGCCGTGGCATGAATAAGACAGGTACAAGACATAGTAGGAAAGAGATATAATTCTTGATATTTTCTGATTATATCAATATCTATTTAGGAAAAACAATGAAATAAAGATAAATTATTATAATTTATGAGACTTCACCAGTATACTGTTGATAATATTTTCTTGCAATTCTCTACTTCACAGTGATAATGAGAAAACAAAAGAAATGTTGTATCAGTCTATTTATAACTGTTTACACACATATGTATATGACTGCAATCTAGGAGAAAGCCTAGGATGCATAAAATCTCTATGGAGAGAGTTTTTCAAAAATTTAATAAGTGATCTACATGATATTTGTTTTTTGTTTCTTTTAAAGATAGATAAACTATGCTCATGGATGGGAATACCTTACCATTTAAAAAATTGAAGGGATAATTTAAAACATTTCTACATTAGAAATTCTATTCCAAATGACTTCACTGGGAATTCTGCCAAGTGTTTTAATATGAGCAGAATAGAAAGAAGCAGCTCTGAAAGTTCAGCATGATGTAATACAAACTCCTGGCTGACCATTACAAAAAATAAAAATTATAAACCAGTATAATTCCCTAAAAGATATTTTTAAAGTTTAAAAATTTTTTGAACCAAATCTGTGATATATGTCTAAATTGCTTTAGTTCACAAGTAAAAGGCTTAACATCCAAAACACTATGTAAAAAGTCATAATTGTCATAAATGGTACAGAAAGAGTACTCGACAAATTAGACATGCATTCATGATTTTAATAGAACTGTTAGAATTAGAAACTTCTTTAACCTAAACCAACATTTTGCATAATGGCAAATTGTTGAAACTGTGTGTGGTGAATGAGACATGAAGTTCTTAATCACAACTCCTATTCAATACTATGGAAGTGCTAATCAGTGCTTTAACTGAAGGAGGAAAAATAACTACAGTCATTGGCAAGAAAATCTAAGACACGTCAATATTAACAGAAAACATGAATACTTACATAAAATATAAAATAAAGATTCAGTCTGGGAACCCAACGAACAACAAAGAGAAAATGAAAACTCAAAATATACCACTATAAAGGAATTTAAAAAATCTACTAAGAAAAAAAATCTAAAAAAGAAGTGCAGTAATAAAAAATTTTTAAAATGTTATTGGCACATGTGAAAGGAGATATTTAAAACTAGACACCTATAACAGGTTCATGTATCATAAGCTAATCTAAAATAGTGCCAATTCGGCCAATCAAAATTCCACAAGAACTTTTGTAGAAGTGGGTAAGTTAATTCTCAAATTTATATAAAGATTCAAGTAGCCAAACTTGCTTGCAAGAGGATAATTGAAGAAGTTATTTAAAGTAGTAGTTGTCAAGTTTGACTTATTACAATTATCAGAGAGATTTTTAAAAACCTGATGGCAAAATCTTATCTTACATAATTAAATCCTTCTTTTGAGGAGGTATCTGTATAGTTAATATTCCCCAGACCTTTCCAATATGCCACTAAATTTGAAAGCCACAATTCTGTAGCATGTTATCATACACAATATGCTACCACTATTCTTTTATCAGAATAACTGAAATTTAAAAAAAGAAAAACAAAATACTGAGTTTTGCAAAGGATATGGATTAAATGGAGCACTTATAATAGTGCTGGTGGCAATGTAAATTGGTAAAACAACTTAGGAAACTCATTCTTCATTACTTAGTATGGTTGAAGTACACATATAACATGACAATTCCTTTAGTTATGTATCCAGCTGAATGCCTATACATGCAAGCATGCATGTAAAGAATGCTCATGACACTATTTGCAATAATTCCAAACTGAAATAATCCAAATACCCAGTAAAGCCAATGAATAAATCATGGTATATTCCTCCAGTGGTATAATATATACCCTGAAATGGATATACTATGTTGAACAATGTGGATTAATTTTACAATATAAAATTGAACGAACATACATGCCATCCTGAAGAAAATATATGTTATAATTTGCCATTTATATAAAAGTTCCTAAGTGGACAAAAGCCATGATAATGGTTACCTTTGGGAAGGATGGTGGGTAAATGATACAGAGAAAGGGAACAACATGGGACTTACAGAAGAGTTGTAATTTTCTATTTTTTGACCTGGGGTGTGCTTTCATGAATGTACTTACTTTATAAAAATTCTTGACATTTGCTTTTTTCTCTTAATTGAAGTATGACATGGTAATAAATTAATAAAAGATGGAGAAGATGGTCTCAAAACACAGAAAAACATTATGTTCTTTTGTAGGACAATAAAAATTTCACTTATTTCCATGTCTACTTTATAAAAATGAATACAATGCAGTACAAATGTCAGTACAATTTCTTAAGCAATCAATATTTAAGGATGTATTTGAAAATTCTATGAATAACTAACTTAGGAGTAAAAATAAAGGGCTTGTCTATGTATGAATATTTTTATCTATATATTTCATTAATACTTATTCTAGAGTCATAGTAACAAAAATAGAGTGATTTGGGCAAAATAGAGAAAAAAGATAAATAAAATAGAAGGCATATTTAAGAGACAGTTCAAGATTTGAGAATATAATTTAAAAGCAGCAAAATAAATCAATGAGGAAAGGCTAGTTATCTTTGTAAAAATTCCTGGGAAATCAGGTTTACTCTACAGAAAATAACTAAAATTGTATCCCTGTGCACCTCATAGCAAGCGTCCTCCAAATGAATTAAAAAAGTGAAATAATAAAATTATAAAGTTGACATAAAATAATATAAGCAAACATCTTGGTGACATGCACTCAAAGAAGGACGTCTTACACAAAGCTTCACTCGTACAACCAGAGACAAAAATGATTTGGGACTGACTTAGGAACAGATAGATCATAACATTGCATAAGTGAAAAATATGGTCAGGTCCAAAATAATCAATTACAAATTAATTAGGCTCCTTAGTAAACCGATACCCTGTACAAATTCCAATTTATCACCTGTAGATGTGTGCATGTGTGAGCTAGATGTGATCTTTATTTTAAAATATAATATCTAATATAATCCTTTGCATATGGGTGGGAAGATTTGCCTACTGACATCATTCTTTAATCTATTTTCTCAGCAGGAAGGACCCAATTCCACTTCTTCCTCAGTTCTATAACTATTATGGCCTGAATTATATATTTTCCTAGAAAATGATGTCTTCCATGTATTAAAATTAATTGCTTAAAGATGCTAGGGTGTATATTTTATTCTTATATTGAATTAACATTGTTAACTACATTGAAACACACTAAGCAGTCAATAATTTTAACTGAATTGACTTTCAACATAAATTCTTGGTATTTATGTTGTGATCATTTAATATTAATTTCTGTACCTCCAAATAAGAATGTCATCATTTAAGTCACTAAAGAAAAAAACATTGACATTCACAACATTTAGAAATGATTAAGAGTTTGGTAAATTTCTCTTTCTAAACACTGTGCTTTTAATAGCTACTTTTGGTTTAGAAAAATAACTTGTTTTTATATTCTGAAAAATAAATATGGATAACAATTTTTCACTTTGACTACGCAAAACTTCAAAGAAAATAAATAATTCACTATTCATGTTGAGTTATTCAAAGGCCCACAAAATAGTTCAAGAAGCTACACTAAATTTCCTACCTCCCAACCCCAGAGTCCTTTATAGTTTTTCCCTTCGCCGACATTTTGGGTTTTTTTATCACTGTCAGTTAATTTTTTACTTTTACGATCATCTGTTTAACAGAACAAATATTTTCTATTAAAACGTCCCCCTCCAGTCCCCAAGAGTATATACCTTATAAGCACTTTCTAGACAACCAAGAGATAAGGGAGGGGAGTACTTACCTTCCACATAGATGCCTGCCTGGATTTCTAGGACCCTGGGGAGAGTCCTGAGGTCAAGAGAATGGACAAATTCTTCCAAAGACAGCGACATTGCTCTGACTTGGGTACTGTAAGTAAGGCCTCTTACTTACAAAAGAGTGTGGTTTCTGGGTGTCATTTGCCAGTAGTTGCAGTTCCTGCTCATCATTCCTCCCTCAGGCGCACAAGGAAGTCACTAGACTCTAATTAGGGTGCAGTAGCTCTGAGGTAAGAGGAAAGTGAGGAGGGAGGGAAGAAGAAGTGGGCAAAAGGAGTTATAGCTCTTTTTTGTTCTCATTGTGGCTTCATTTCCTTCTGACACTGAAGTAGAACAGAGTGGGGGTGGGGTGCGCATATCAGAATAGACTCTGCCCAAAAAAAAAAAAAAAAGAAAAAAGAGAATTAATGAGTAGCTCGCTTGCTCTGTCTGTTTCCAGTCCAGGTGTGTCTTTACAGCAGGGGTAAGACTGTTTGGGGTAAGAGTTTCTTGTGGTTTGTAGAACAGAAAAGAACAGGTATTTAAGACTGAAGTTTAACTTTAAACATGGCACCATGTTAATTCTTTATCTCTTTAGTTAATTTCTAAAGTTTGTCTTTGTGCCTTATTTGCATACTTGCAGTGCTTTTATATTAAATTTGGTTATGAAAGTGCTTTGCGTCAGCTCTTTTGGGAAATCTTGTACTCAGGAGAGAGGATTGAAACTACTTTTTATTCTTCCACATTAAAATTTTTGCTGAATCTTAAAGGTGGAGGGGTGGCATGTGCAAAGAGATACAGTAAAGTAATATGAATTTTCTAATCACCACATGATAGTGGTAGTATCTAAATCCAGTGGGTCTTGGAATTCTGGGTCTAGATCTGCTTTTAATTTACAGGTGACTGCAATTTTGTCTTCTCTGTTCCTCATTTGTCTCATTTATTAAATGGAGAAAAGGTAGAGGAGTCAAATAAATTGTTCTGTTTCCAAGATGAAAATTCTACAGTTATGATCGATCATGTGGTCCAAATTTAAGAGAACTGGGGGGGGGGGCAAATAACCAATGTCAAAGGAATCAAAGGAGGACTAAACCTCATGAAACAAATTTCTTAAAAATCCTCCTTCTCTTCAGTCTTTATATTTAACTGAAACTATTTGAGAGATACGAGCTATGTTCTGACTTTCTTTGAGGGTGAATAAAGGAAGACAGGTTGTTGTAGATACAAGTGAAAGAGCCTAAGAAGCTGCACAGACTCCTTATAAACTGTACTCTAGACTCTCAGTTTAAAACTGTTTTGGCCTTAAGTTGCAAAAAGCAAAAGTAGATAGAGACAGTCTATCCCTTGCAGCTTCATTATATGAAAACACTAACTTAAGTTAATATAGAGCTTACAAAATTCAGCTCTCACCATCAGATTTGACACTTGGCAATATTGTGCTTGGCTTCATTTATTTTACAAAACTGAAATGTATGGGGTCACCTTAGGAGAATTTTTACCATCCTCTTTTACTTCCTCTTGTAAATTTTTGCCCCAAAATGTCCCAAATTGATCAGTCTGTATCCATCCCCAAGCTTAAGCGTCTCAATCAACTGCAGACACTGTTTACAGTGTTAACAGCATATTTCACAGAGTTGAATATGTGATAAAGGCCACTGTGGACTGCCCCTTAAAAAATACACATATGTTAGAATTGGTGCCACAACCAATTTTACTTGATCTCTATCGCAAGTTAAACCTCACTTCATTTTTTTTTTTAATTTCCCATGTCAACTTTCTAGCCTACTAACCAAAGAAAATATTTCAAAATACCACCAATCTTTTACAACTATCTATACCACTCCTGCTTTTGCTCTTTCAACAAATGACCCTCCCCCTCCTTTTTCTTTAATCAGCTTCTCTCATGTCCTCAACCCTAGTTATGACATTATCAGTCTCTCAGTTTCCCATGCAAGAGGCTACATCATGGGAGATGCCATCTTCAGCCACCAAATCTATCAAGTGCTCTATTGGCAATACCCAATACCATTCACTCTGTTCATGCTCTGTAATACCACTATTACTACTTTAGTTACTACTTTAGTCCAGATAATAATCCAGGCAGAATTATTCTGATGTGAACAGCCAAGATAAAATTCACAATTATGAGTATTAAGAGGGTTCTTAAATCACAAGATACTAAAATGAGTAATTAAAATTCAATAATTGAAACAGCAGATTATTGATGTAATAATTGCCTAATGGGACTCAGAAACAAACCAAAGTATAAATAATAATTCACTGTATGAAAAGGTAAAATTCCTCAGCAGTATGGAAAAATGTTTCATTCACCAAATAAGTGATTTTTAAAATAAAAGTTAACTCTTACAATTCTATGGGACAATATTAAATTCAGATAAATTTAAATAAAAAAGATAAATTTAAATAAAAATAAATCAAAGGAAAACATACAAGTCTAAACAGGATAAAGGAAAAAATTTCTAACCATTAATGGAAGTGTTGGAAAAAAAACTATTAGATTTAAATGCTTCTGCAAATCAAAAAGAAATTTCAATAACACACAAAAAACTTCAAATAAAGAGTTAATGTCCTGGATGCATAAAGAACACCTACTAATCAAACAGCAAAGTAAAAATATTCAAGGACATGCGCTTCTGACTATGAGCTTGTATGTGAACAACTCTCCTAATAAGCACAACTCAAATGTGGGTGATTTTTTAAAAATCTGACTTAAGGAACAGAAGAGCTGTCAAGGGCATTCAGGACTAGAGATCCTGAGCACAAGAGAAACAATGATAGGAACCCAATATCCTGTCTTTCTTTTTCCCTCAAGGCATTTGTGGATTAATAATTGGCTCCAAGAGAGAGACTGAGAAGCAAAGCAAAAATTGGAGGTGTAGGAGGAGGGAAGCCAAGTTGAGTTGCTAGCAATTTCAAATAGCTAGGGACAAAAACTGGGGACCAGCCAGGCATTCAGAGAAACTCAGAAGTGAGTTGCTCAGTACCATTTTTTCTCTTCAGGATTTTGCCCATTCAGAATTGGTACATGGTTGATTATATGAGATAGACTCTAGTTAAAAAGCAATGGAAAGAAGCTGAAAGTAGCCAGTAGTGCATTGCAGCAGTCTCATATTGCTGGGAAAGCAGGTCCTGCCAAGCAGTAGGGAGCTGCTCCAGTAAATGTCCATTTCTTTCAGCAGAAGCTGGTGAAGGGTTGACTTGAAATAGAACAACACTTACAAAAACTGATGCTCAGACTAAAATTAGCTCAATCCCTTTTTGCCCCATTTTAGTTGCCAGATAAAAGCAAAAGTAAATCCTCCAGCTGAGGAAAAGCAACCAGAATTTAACACGTCTAGGATTTAATAATGAGAAAGGACTTAAATATTGAATTATTGTTAGTATACTAGTGAGAGTTAGCCAGGGACCCAAAACTGTTAAAGGATGCATGCTCTAAAAGGGGCCTTGACTTCGGCACACATAAAGACAAAGGAAACATACTCAGCATTACTTCTTCAGATATATTGATTTGTCACTTGTCACTTTACAGTATTAATTTTTTTAATGGAATATTAATTATCAAATCATCTACGAAATAGGGCTAATTTTACTTTTTCCTCTCCAACTGGGATTACTGTATTTCTTTTGTCTTATTGTTCTGGCTATAACTTCCAATACTATGTTGAATAGTAGTTGTAACAGTGGACATTCTTGTCTTATATCTGATATTATAGGAAAAGACAGTTTTTTAATCATTGACTATGATATTAGCCATGTGTTTGTCTTACATGGCCTTTATTATCTGACCTTTATTATGTTAAACTGTGTTCCTTCTCATTCAAATTTTATTATGTTATGAGTGGGTGTTAATTCTTATCAAATGCTTTCTATTTCTATTGATATGGTCAAATGATTTCTGTCCTTTCTTTTATTGATGTGGTATATTACATCAACATTTGTTACTGCCCACTAGTTATAAGCTATATAGTTCCTAGCTCTTGCTTTTTGGGAAGACAAATTACTGTTTCAGTTTTCTTGATTGTGATTTTTCTTATTTTTCTATTTTACTTAATTCAATCTTGGAAGATTGTATATATGTAATAATTTTTGTTCATTTCCTCTAGATTATCCAATTTACTGACATAAATGTTCACAGTAGTCTCTTATCCTTTGTATTTCTATGGTATCTGTTGTAATTTTTCATTTTTAATTTTATTTATTAGCATTTTCTCTCTTTTTCCCTTAGTGTGCCTAGCTAAATATTTGCTAATTTTGGTTATCCTTTCAAAGAACCATCACTGGTACTTTTTAAGTCTTTTGTATTATCTTTTTTATTTCTATTTCATTTATTTCTCCTCTAAATTTTATTTTTCCCTTTCTTCTACAGACTTTTTCTTTCTTTTTTTTTAGTTCTTTAGGTGTAAGGTTAGATTGTTTATGTGAATTTCCTTATTTCTTTATAGATGCTGATATTACCATAAGCTTCCCTTTTAGAATTGCTTTTACAGCATCCCACAGATTCTAATAGATTGTCTTCATTTTTGTTGGTCTCCAGGTATTTTTTTTTGCAATTCTTTGAAAGGATTGCTATTACAAAACATCTCATAGTTTCCAGTAATTGTCCAAGTATCTCTAAACCTATGAGTATATGCCTTCATCATGGCCCATTTTTAAAGAACACCTGCCTGGTTGTATTTCTACATTCTTTTTGGATGAAATTCAATGCTGGGCTCATGTTTTTTCTCAAGTAGATATATCATCCTGGTCATCCTCATTTCTTCCCTATACCTAATTGTTCTTTCAGCAAATATTTGTTAAAACACCCTCTGAACCTTTATAAAAGAAACTGAAAATATAAATAAGCCCTTAAAGAGTTTACATTTTAGCAGACTAGGCACATAAATTAAGATCCACCATCCAAATAAATAAAGTTCTTGATAGAGATGTGCAGGCTAATTTAAAGGAACACACAAGGATGAGACACTCAACACAGGGACTTAAAGAGTTAGGAATGGGTTTCCCTAGCTAGAGTGTTCCTGAGGTTAACAGGAAAGAGGCAGTTAGGGAGCTAAGCCTGTTTACCTTATAGAGGCTTTATTTAAATGGTTGATTTTTTTTTTTTTGGCATGGAATTTTACCAGTTGTTAGATATAGCAGAGCAAATTCACAGGTTGAGGTGTGAATCTTGTAAAGAAAAATGACATGAATATTGGCATCATCATATGAATCTTCAC